AAGCAAGTAGTGCAGTATAGTACATACAATAGAAGGCAAATGGTACAGTACACCAATTGAATCCTCCCCTGTTAAAGGGACTGTAAAGGAAAAATGAAAGGGGGTATGGGCTGAAAGAAAATCACTTTAGCTCTTGATCGCAACCCATTAAAGTTATATCTGATGTTCCTATCTCGAGAAATTGATATTCAACTGTGTCAAATTTATCGAAAATTAATATATATACAATTTTGTATAAAAGTAGAGGGTTTAAGTAGATCAAATTTAGCAAATAGGCAACCAATCTGAAAACGATGATATCCGATCCCCCCCGCCCCCCTCCTATCAATTTTGTACATGGTTATCATTGGTCAAGTGACCGCAGAGTCCGGCCCCTTGCCTGTCCTAGACACGGCGCTGGCCCCCTAGCCCGTCCTAGCCGCAGCGCTCGGCCCCCTAGCCTGTCCAAGCCACAGGGCTAGGCCCCCCTAGTCTGTCCTAGCTGCGGCGCTCGGACCAGAAATTGTCTTAACGTAACTTTATCCTAAAATAAAATAAAAATAATAATCGCTCTCTAGGACAGACCCAATTACAGTGGCTTCAAAAAAAAATACCGTTAACAAAACGAACTTTTCGTTTCTAGCTATAAACGAACGGCTACCTACAAAAAAAAATTTGCGGTTTTAACTTACCACTAACGAACGCCTAGAAAAAAGTCAGAACGTGCCCAGCCTTACTCACTTACAACTTAATAAAAACTCATTTATGAAATTGATTTATATTCTTTATTTTCTTTCTATTAACAAAACTCAACTGAGACATTATAGTTTATTTTATAGTTCTTTTATTATTTGGATTTGGTTTACAAGTCGTGGAGGACATAGATAGTTGTCTCTCTGTAGTTTAAGCTGAAAGATTTCCTGAGTAAGGAATCAAATAGGAAATAAAAAAGAGACTATATTTTTTTGTTCAACCAAAATTTTGCACATTAAAAGCAAACTTAGAATACAAGTTTTGTATCATTAGAAATAAATTAGAATCTTGATAAGACTATAAAAGTTTTTTAAAATGTTGGCCATGTCCATGCATAAATTTTGATCTGCTTTGTTTCTCTATCTTTAGATATTTGGATGAATCAGATTTTGAACAAAATTGTTAAATAAAATAGTTAACCCTTCAATGGAAATGTACTTGAAATATTACTGTAAAGGGGTTGTGTTTGTAATTGCATGTGACCCTACAACACTACTCTCTAAACCTTTATCTGATAAAAAATGTGAAAGATATCGGCGATGTTTTAACTTGAAGAGTGTTCAACAATAAAAATCTCCTTCACGGTCTTAGTGGCAAGATATCCGCAAGTAACTTGAATAGAAAAATGTAAACCAATAGAATTTGATGGATATCTTATCCATACTTGATTTGTCAAAGCTTTCAATGATACCCTTGGGAACCGTCCATTTCACGCTAAATTTAACTATATGGACGATCCCTTTAATATTACGACTGAGTCGATATTATATCAAGTTATTAAATCAAAAATGTCTTGTTATTTAAAATCCAACATTTAAAATTTGATGAAATATTAATATTAGGATATTTTCAAGTTTTCAAATAAAATAATCCTTCTTAAAAACCCATCTTGTTATGGATGATAGAAATCTTCAATCCAGTAGGTTTGAATCTTTCAAATCAAAATCAGATTAATCTTCAGTAGTCAATTCTAAATATTGTTTTATCTAACTTAAATATGTCTAGCTCGGATTTCCAATCGGAAATCTGTTGCGCGGAAAATCGCGCAGCTGTGCGAAATTGCTCGCAACTGTTCTCGTATTGCGCGGAATAGTGCGGAATTGTTCGAAATTGTGCGGAATTGTGCGGAATTGTGAGGAACTGCGCGAAAACCGCAATTGCGCGCAAGCAAAATCCACTTGCATTGGAAACCATTTAAAGGAGACCGCCCAAATATTTATGTGTATGTATATTTGTTAATTAAAAAGTTGTAAAAAAGTATTAAGCCGATTTTAAACAATTCCATGTAAAGCCCCACTACCAAGCGCGGCCTTTAACAAAAAAAAATAAAACTCTTGATATATGTTCTCTCTATTCAGTACTATCAATAATTGTTGAAAACAAATAGCTTTACTTTAAAATTATTTAATCAATAATGAAATGGGTCTGTTTGCACTGCACAATTGCTGTGTCTCGTGATTATTAAAAGTCATAACTTAAGTCTAAAAGTCGACATCCTATTTTAGAGTTTTCAGGCAGTCAAGCACATGCATGATGCATCACCCATTATCATTTACTTTGGCCTAATCTGAAGCTTTATATCTATATGTATATAAATTTTTGATCTCTGTTAGTTTTTCCGATCATAACTCATGAACCTAATGACCGATTTGCCTCAAATTAATTTAAGGAACTCAGGATAACCACGAGAATATTCTTCGAGAAGCTTGGCTTTGACATTCTAAGATGAGATGGTCGAATTCAAAGCTGGGTTCCCAAACTAGTATTTGTTTGGTAGTTGAACCAGTTCAACTATCTAACTTTCGTTTATAAGTTCTGACCTTCGCACTGTACGGTTTAATGTCCGTACTTTTGCAATTCTGTTTTTGACAACTTAGGGTCACAGTTGAATGTTTTATTACATACATATAAAACCAAAACCCTGCAGAATAGGAAGACGATATTAAAATAACATTTTATAGTATTTAATGTTGCAAAGCAAATATTTGATACGAGCAACTTATTAAATCACTTATTAAGAAAAGGGGCCTTTTACACCACATAAATATGGTGATATTAGGCGCATTGCATTAATTTAAGTCATGAAATAAGTCTAACAGTTGTTTTCAGAAATCCTATGAATGGTTCATGTTCTTCTGGAGGTATAACTTATCAGTATAATCATGTCATCTAAAATTTTGTATGATTTTGTTATTTACTTCCTGAAAGCAAGAGCTAGAAAAACTGCTCTAAAAACTTTTTAAAAATATATGTCTTAAATTTTAATCAAAATTTTCAGATAGAAAAGTTCTAAGTTTAAAAACAAGTGGCTGAAGATTACTAAGAACATGATTTTAATATAAGTTCAGATTAATTATATAATATGATAATTTAATCATTTATCATTTATGCCCGATAAAACACCAAAGCAGTTCCAAAATTTTATAAAATTATCAAATCAAACTATTTTGTAGGAGTTGTTTCGAGCTGCAAGTTTAAAAACAAGTGGCTGAAGATTACTAAGAATATAATTTTAACATAAGTTCAGATTAATTATATAATATGATAATTTAATCATTTATCATTTATGCTTGATAAAAACACCAAAGCAGTTCCAAAATTTTATAAAATTATCAAATCAATAATTGTGCAGGATTTGTTTCGAGCTGCAAGTTGTGGAGTTTGCCATATTCTATGGCAAACAATCAGGGAGCTAAACTTAATATTTTTTCTGAAAAACAGAGTGATTTATTTAAATAAACGTAATTTTGGATTTTAAGATTTGTTTGTATTCTATGGCAAACAATCAGGGAGATAAACTTAATATTTTTTTCTGAAAACAGAGTGATTTATTTAAATTAACGTAATTTTGAATTTTAAGATTTGTTTGTATTCTATGGCAAACAATCAGGGAGATAAACTTAATATTTTTTCTGAAAAACAGAGTGATTTATTTAAATTAACGTAATTTTGGATTTTAAGATTTGTTTGTATTCTATGGCAAACAATCAGGGAGATAAACTTAATATTTTTTCTGAAAAACAGAGTGATTTATTTAAATTAACGTAATTTTGGATTTTAAGATTTGTTCAAATCTCTTTGGAATCTTAATCTGTTAATAAAAATCTTGATTTACCCAGGAAACAAAAGTGGAGAAATTCCGTTTGCACAGAATTCGGCATTGTGATAAAATTTCTTTGAATTGTACAGTATATGATCTCCAAGTCAAAATTTTGGCTTATTTGGAAAATTCATACAGAGGACATGTTTTTGGCATTTTTGAATCTTCCCTTTTAGTAAAACCCAACAAAAGCCAAATTTTCAATAATTATATCAAAATTTTGTTCAGTTCAATTCAGAGCGAATGTAAAAATATTTTTTTATCGCCAGTTTTCTAACTAGAAAGATAAATAAAAAATTAATATTTTGGTGAATTTATCCAGAAACTACCAGTGGTCGATCCCTGCCGGAGACAAGACTGCAATATCAGATATTCTCATCCTCATCACATACAACCTGTTAGTTATCAGAGCCGTCATTAAAAGCTTAAAGGATTTTAATTCTTTTAATTTAATTCTTCTTTATTTGTTAAAGCTAAGTTTTTATTCGCTTGACCTGGGCTTTCATTTGTTTGACCCGGGTTTTTATTTGTTTAACCTGGGTTTTCATTTGTTTAACCTAAGTTTTCATTCATTTAACCCAAGTTTTCATTCGTTTTACCTGAGTTTTTATTCGTTATACCCAAGTTTTCATTCCATTACCCCAAATTTTCATTCGTAAAACACGAGTTTTCATTCCTTCAACCAGAATTTTCTTTCATTTAACCCGAGTTTTCATTCTTTAAATCTGAGTATTCATTTGTTTAACCCGAGTTTTCATTCGTTTAACCCTACTTTTCATTTATTTAACCCAGGTTAAAAGCTTTATATTAGACTCAACAAAAGAATCAGCTGACAAGAGCTTGTGTCACATGATCGACAGATACTAGTTCTTAAACTTGACTTTAGGAGTTAGGCCTGGTGAACAAAAACACCTGTATTGGTTTATGTCTCAATGATGGGTCTTGGCTCTAAACAAATTCTATTCAGAAATCAGAAATTTGTAAAATTCGTAGTTTTGTACGTTTTCTGTTTTAAGATGGCACATTTATCAGAAATTGACTGCACAATTGTTCGAAAATATTTGTTAACAAAAAATGTGCAATTCAGTTTTTTATATCGCGCAAATTTGACAAAAAAAATCGCCATTTCATAGAAACCCTTAGCCTGCACAATAACAAAAATTTTAAAAGTTTGAAAATATAAATTGTTGTTTTTCAGGGAGTTCATCCCATGGATTGGAACTGTGTTTAATGTGGTGAGGGATATTTTTGGAGAGTTCAATTACTTCTTCACTTATGTCGTTGTGGCACATTCCAGGGTCAGTTCAATTTTCTAACCACAAAGTGCAATATGAACCACAAAAAATAAGAGACAGATATGTTGAGTGCAGAGATCATTCTAACCACAGACAATGAGTGACAGATTTGTTGAAATCTGAGAGCAATATGAACCACAGACAATAAGAGACAGATATGTTGAGAGCAGAGATCATTCTAACCACACATACAATGAGAGACAGATTTGTTGAAATCAGAGAGCAATATGAACCACAGACAATGAGAGACAGATATGTTGAGAGCAGAGATCATTCTAATCACACAGACAATGAGTGACAGATTTGTTGAAATCAGAGAGCAATGTGAACCACAGAAATAAGAGACAGATATGTTGAGAGCAGAGATCATTCTAACCACATATACAATGAGAGACAGATTTGTTGAAATCAGAGAGCAATATGAACCACAGACAATGAGAGACAGATATGTTAAGAGCAAAGATCATTCTAACCACACAGACAATGAGTGACAGATTTGTTGAAATCAGAGAGCAATGTGAACCACAGACAATAAGAAACAGATTTTTTGAGAGAAGAGAGTATTTTAACCACAGACAATAAGAGACTGATTTGTTAAGAGCAGAAAGCATTCTACCCAAAGACATTGAGAGACAGATTTGTCAAGCTTAAAGAGCGTTCTAACCACAGAGCCAGAGCCAGATTTGTTGAGATCAGAGAGCATTCTATCCAGAGACAATGAGAGACAGATATGTTGAGTCATGTTAAATTCATCGTTGAAAATTAGTATGACTTTTTTAAATGACTTGAGTAAATTTAGGATTTTTCAAGTGGTTTTTTTTCAATTACTTTTTCTAAATACTCTGTTTCCCGTCACTTTCTTAGAATGATTCATTTTAGTTTGTGTTTAATTCGAGTGTGGGACTATGGAACCTGGCGACTACAATACGATACTTGTACTTATTTAATGTGGAGTTTATTCAGGTCTTGAAAATCCGCGAATTTTTTTTTAAAAATCCGCAAATTTTTTCTTCTTTGTTTTTAAATGTAAACAAAAAGAACATGTTCACAATTTAAATAGAAGATGGGAGCGAAGCGCCCTAAAAGTCTAGTATATCTATACTTTGCTTGTCTGTTTGTTTGTTTGTATCCAATAAACGTCAAAACGGCTGAACCGATCGGGCCCAAATTTGTTTCGGGACCTCGCGTGACCCCAGGGAAGGTTTACAGATGATCGAATTTCCAAAAATTTGCTTTTCTCAAATTTCGATTTTTGAACATTTTGAAAATACACGATTTTTTTTATAACATCCGCGAAATTTTTCTTGTTTTTGTTTCACAATAATGCAAAGAGAACATGTTCATAATTGAAATAGAAGATGGCGCGAAGCGCCCTTAAAGCCTAAAAGTATAAATATTTTGCTGTCTGTCTGTTTGTTCGTATCCAATAAACGTAAAAAAGGCTGAACCGATCGGGACCAAATTTAGTGTGGGACCTTACATGACCCCATGGAAAGTTTGTGGATGATCAAAAATTAAAAAATTAGCCTCCAACAAAATACAGTTTTAATAAATTTTGTAAATCCGCGAATTTTTGTTTTTGTTTTAAAATGATATACAAACAAAATTCGATTTTTGTTAAATTTTGAAAATCCCCAAAATCCGACAGTTTTTTTGTTTTACAATGTATACAAAGAGAACATGTATAAAATTGAAAAAGGGGGCCTGAAAAGCCAAAAAAAAGCCTAGTTTAAACAATTTTACCCAATTTAAAAAATTTGATTTCGGGTAATTACAGCCTAATTTTCACTTTACCCTTTCAAAAAAACAAAAAAAAATTAAAAATCTTTTGCATAATTTATTCTTTTCTTTCATTTTTGCGAAGTTATCAAATGAATCCGTAATTTTGATGAAAGAAAGTTTCTTCAATAATGAAGCAACAAAATTTAAAAAAAAATTCTTACTGGGAAAACTTGTTTTAGGACACATTGGATAGAACTATTCTATGGCTTGGTAAACTGGTAAGGTTTAATTAATGTATACGAGAACAGACTTGCTTAGGTGAAGAATTTGCTAATTGCGCAAACGCTGCAAGAAAATTGCTTAAACTTTTTTTACTTTTGTGATTATGGCTATTTTCCCATAAATTTGACATTTTCCGCGGAATTTAAATAAGGAAGCGGAAAATTGATTTTGACATATTCTAAAGTAAAGATTATTTATCTTCACAAAAAGGATTGCAGAAAATGAATTTTACAGTCAGATTTTTTTTACTTTTTAATCATTTTCATTGAAACATTGTTTACAAAAAAAGGAAAAGGGTGTAACCATTTTTTTTGTTTTAGGTTATTGTGCTCCATGTTGTTGGGTCAATCTGCTACGATTTAATTATGTCTTACTTCAATATATACCCTCTTATAGCTCGGGTAATTATTATTAAATTTTTCATTTTTTTAGGAAAATATAAACAATGCCAACTGATATTCAAAATTCATTTGAATGAAAACAAATCCAGAGATATTTCATGTTGCTCAGAATACTCCTGTGGCAAAAAAATATCCACTTTTTTAACTCTTAATTTTAGGGGACAATAGTCTACACCATGGGATCTAAGGAACTATTTAACTCACTACCTGAAATTCCTAAAACTCAAGGATTAAGCCAAGGAACCTACTTCTTATTCACAATTATCTACCAGGAAAGTTATTACATTTTAAAATATTTTTAAAAGCTTTAAACTAATTACAATTTAGAATTGCGAAATTGGCAAATAATATTTTTTATTGTTTCTCCTCTTTTTTAAATGAAAATTTTGTCATTTTATCTCTTTAGAAGTTTTTGTGAATCTGTAAAATTTAATGACTTAAGGTTACTTTGTATGTTGCCAAGTGGTTCAAGTTTAAGAAGGTAAATTTTAACCATGGACTAATTTTTTACTAAGATATTTTTTTATCTCCTGGATTTTCTTTTTTCTGAAACAATCATTTAAAAAACCATTGTTTTAAAAAAATATTTTGCTACTGAATTTGAGTTTTATGTAAATTATTTTCAATTTTTTTTAGGAAGATAAGGTTATGATCTATGAATGTTGTTTTAAATGTTTTTTTTTTTTATCGAGAAAAATAACCTGAATATCTTAAATGAATCCAAAACTTCATCAATAATAAACCACACACTTAATTTCATTATTTGTTTAGGTTTATACTGCTGAGGCTAATCCTCAAAGAAGGACTTTGAATAGTGCATCTAATGCTTTCAGTGCATTTGCCAGTATTATTGCAATGGTTGCAGGAACAATGGTTTGGGTCAACCATTTTTATGTGTAAGATTCTTTCTTCAATTTAAATTCTAAAGTATGCAATATTTAGATTTGGGTCTGCAGGTATAGGTTTATGTTAGTAATTTCCAGAACGTAAATAGAAACAAAACTAAATAATATAAAAGAAGGATTTCTTTAACAATTGTTTTATAATTAAAATGTCTTTGCAAAAAGATGTCATTAAAAAATTACAATCTTCCAAGATTAACTGGTAATTTATATATTATAATTAAATATGTATTTATATCTGAATTTTTAGAATGCATACAAGCGCTGAATATGAAAATACCAACTCCACCTGTACATTACTGGACAACAATGTGAACCTGACAAGACAGGAAGATCAAGTAATTAAATATATCAAAATCTATTAAGAGATTTGCTTGCTGTCTTATATACTACACTAAGATTATATTTAACACTACACTACACCAAGCTTATATTTAACACTACAGAGTTCTGCTTGCTGTTCTATATACTACACTAAGCTTATATTTAACACTACAGAGTTCTGCTTACTGTTCTATATACTACACTTAGCTTATATTTAACACTACAGAGCTCTGCTTGCTGTTCTATATACTACAATAAGCTTATATTTAACACTAAAGAGTTGTGCTTGCTGTTCTATATACTACACTAAGCTTATATTTAACACTACAGAGTTGTGCTTACTGTTCTATATACTACACTAAGCTTATATTTAACACTACGGAGTTCTGCTTACTGTTCTTTATACTACACTAAGCTTATATTTAACACTACAGAGTTCTGCTTACTGTTCTATATACTACACTTAGCTTATATTTAACACTACAGAGTTCTGCTTGCTGTTCTATATTCTACACTAAGCTTATATTTAATACTAAAGAGTTGTGCTTGCTGTCCACTAAGCATGATTGAGACTGGATTTAAAATCAGGGTTTGTTTGAGATTATATCTTCAATCAAGGTTGGATTAAGAGTAGATCTTATATCAGGGTTGGTTTGAGATAAGATCTTAAATCAGGGTCGGATTAAGACTAAATCTTAAATAAGGGTTTGGTTGAGAATAGATCTTAAATCTCGGTTGGATTAAAACTAGATATTTAATCAGATTTGAAATGAGACTATAGATCTTTAATCAGGATGGGTTCAGATTAGATCTTAATTCAGGGTTGGATTGAGGCTAAATCTTTAATTGGGGCTTTACATTTTTTTCTCTATAAAGTTACATTGAAACCCTTAGCTTTTTTACAGCTGAGTTTTCCTACCCTTTTTATACCAACACCAAGACAAAAAGGAATTCTGGAATCCATTGGGAATTGTAATTTGAAAAAATATTGCTTTACAATTAAACCATCATTTAAATCTTAAACTGTTTTTTACTTTCAGGAGAATTGGGCCAACACAACTTGCACTTCCACAGAGGCACATAATGAACAGATTTTAGTAAAAAACATTTTGTTTATCTTCTTTATTTTTGTCTTATTTTACCTCTTTATTTCTTGAACCCGGAGTATGTCAAATGTTTTGATTGATAATTTTGCAAATTAGTTCAAATTATGCATGAATTTACAGGGACCAGGATATGCTAAAACATTCAGGAAGATTAGCAAGAAAAAAAAATAGAAAAATTAGATAAAAATTGACATATTTAACAAAGGAATTGAGTCTTCGCCACAAACTCTGATTTTCTAATCCCTTTATTTTTGCAATTCAAAGTCGCAGATCTTGGATATTTCAAACAAAAAATTTAGTTAGAACAGTGAAGTTAAGTTTGAGATTGAAAGGTTTTCAGATTACAGAAATATAGAAATTAGAACATTTTAGTTTGTGGCAAATACTCAATTCCTTACTAAACAAAATATTTCTAAATATTTCGCAAAAAATTATCGATGGTGATCGCTACTAATCTTACTTCTATCTGTTGTGTCTGTAAGGGGAAAATTGTTAAAAACGACCCATACCAAAGAATGTAGCGTCCATGCAACTTTAGAAAGTTGCAACATTCGACTAGGATCATAAAAAATCAATTCAATTCCAAACAAATCATTTAGATATTACAACCTGCAATCATCGATAATTTTTCGACGCATTCTTAAAAAGTTGATATTTCATATTATTTCTTATTTGTTTTATATACAATGCCTTAAAACGCCAATTTGTTGGCCGCCAGATTTCTCTGCTCTGAATGAATTCACATGGCAGAGACACCAAGCGGAAAAAAATCGTCGTTTTTAAATACTAAATCTTTTTAGAAGCTGCAAACCCTGTTTCCTGAGATCAGTTCTCCTGGTGTTTGCCTACATAGTTCCAAGTTCATTATTTTTTTTTAATTTTCAAAAATCTTATTTAAATTGATTTTTTTGCCTACATACGTAGACGATGACAGTAAAGTTCAAATCTGGTACAGATAATGTTCTAAAAATTTACCACCATTTTTTAAACATTTTTATTTTTTTTATTTTTTACAAAATTGTATAAATCATCCGATAATAACAGCTGCTGGTTATTTGCAATCTCTGTATTTCCCCAGTCTTAATTCTCTTGTTCGAATTTACGGCTAATTTTGAAAAAGAAAGAAAAGAAATTTTCTTTGACATCCCTGCAAAAAGCCGAATGTATTTTTTTGCAAGCTCAGGTGTCCACTCTTGCTTTCTCAATCTTTTTCTGGAATCTTGCTACCATTTTTTAAATAACATAATTTGCAATTCATATTATATATCGGATAAACCTTATTTAAGGTACAGGGCCTGATCCAATAAACATGGGATTTAAAAAAGGACTTGAAAATCATATTTGCTTTCCAATAATCTATCAATAACAAAGAGTGACTTAAAATAAAGATTGTACGGCTTGTGAGCTTTCAAAAATGTGGTCGACCTTCATTGTATCTTCAAAATTGACTGAGATAATAAACATTTAAACATTGATAAATTTGATCAATTTGAATTTAAACAGATTTGTTCAAAATGGTAAACCATATTTTCGAATTTCTCAGACTAATTAGTAGGTTTAATAGTTACAGTATTTTAGTAGTTATAGTAGGTTTACCTAGAATATTAATAAAATCATGTTTATGTAAATATGCCGATGAAGAAGTCGTCAATTAAATCTCATGTTTATTGGGAGAATAATTTTTGACACAATATTTTTCCTAGGTGTTGCATTTGTCTTCAACAAGAAGCTTAGAAACTATGTAAAAAGAGGAATAAGAAAGGTTTCTCTGAACTCTCTCATTTATGGTGTTTGGAGGTATATATATGTGAACATTGGTTTTGAACTTAAAACATGAATTTATTTATCCTTTATTATCAGAATTAAGAAAGTTTTTATTTGAAAAGACAAAAATCATTTAAAAATAAAGACAAGCCTAATTGCCTCATTAAATTAACTGCCTAATTTTCACAAATGTTCTTAATATATCCGAACCAATGATTTTTTTCTTTAAAACCTAGGGTGCCAGACAATTTGATATTTTTTCTCAATTTCTTAATTTTACCTTAGGTTTTTCTATTAACAATTGTGCCTACAAAAAAAGGACTAAAATTCAACCAAATCTTTTCCTATGGTGGTAATCGACAACTTTTGATTTCAACTTTTAATTTCTATTAAGCTTTTTAATAGCATTGAGATTCAAAAAATGGAAACAAGAGAAGAAGTCAATTAAACCAGCTTCTCTTTTATTTCTTGTAAACTTTGAAATCGAAAAAAAGCTTGTTACCAATAAAAACTTTTTAAAAGTCGTCTTCATTATATTGCTATTATTGCCTTCCACCATATTTAGACCTTGTTCAGCAGCTAGGCAACCAAGAAGAAATCAAAGAACAACACCATTTCAAGTTAACCCAGTCAGAAATCTGACAAGAGCTCCTAGACAGGTGCATCCTAGTAATAGTAGTGGTGAAGCAGGTTTAACCCTGAGTGAACCAAGAAGAAACATCAGCCCAGAGAAAGGAGTCAGGTATCCACCTGGAGAAAATACTGGAGTAATATCTCATGTTCCTTCCTCAAGAATAATCTATACTACTTCAGCGGAGATTCATTTGCAACCTGCAGAAGAGCATCAATCAAATTCTACCAATTTAGAACAAACTCAAGAATATTTTGAAATGAATACCATCATAACGGATTTCCATCAAACAATGAGTAGTATAGAAGAGAATTCTTTAGCTGGAGAAGATACTAGAAGAATGTCCTTCTAGAATGATTTGTGTCTCTTCTGTTCGTAATGATTCTGATCGAGAAGAGGAGAATATTTATGAGCAAGATTCAAGTTTAGAACTTACTTAGGAAGATCCAGTACTAGATCATAACTTTCCTTAATTTGCATCAAAATAAAGCAGTTTAGTTGAAAATTCTGTAACTGAACCTTTTTCAATACTCAATGAAAATCTGTCTTGGAAGATATCATCTTTGTTTACTTGATTTAAATGAAACAAAAAGTAGCACTGAAAGAAAACTGATTTTGAAAAGGCTTTTACCGAATTTTAGCCTGATTAGTTAAAAGGTCTAAAATTGATCTCATGCTTGTATGTATGTAACTATAAATTTGAAGAAAATAACATAAATGTTAATTATGTATAAACAAGTTTCAAGTTTTGTTGTTTGTATATTTGATATAAATTTATTTGTTATGATGTTCATATGTAAATTTATGAAGAAAATAAAAAAAACTCTGGAATGAATTGTAACAAAGATAGTTTTTGTATATAGATCAGAGTATTAGTTTCAATGAATTCTTTTGTGCTAAAATAAACTATAAAAGCTTTTTTATCAAAATAGATCAGGATTTAATAGTTGATCAGAATTTAAAAAATTAAAAATGATTTTAAATTTAAAAATATCAAAAATGTTCTAATTTGAAATATAAATATGATTTGTTCCACATCTTTCAAACCAGCACCAAAAGTTTGCATTTGATGCACTTAACTTTTTGTACCTTCTTTTACAAGACCATAATGGGTAATGCTTGTTTTTTTGCAATTAACTTCAAAAGTGTCTAAATATTTTTTTTGTCATAAATTAAATGCAGTTCTGAAGAAGCTCTTTTGTTCGGTTCTGTTTGTTAGTGTGAAAGGACAATCATTCATGAACATGAATGAAGCTTAGCTCTTACAGGGTGTCCCAAAAAACATGAGAATTCAGTGACAAATTCAATATCGTCTTTGTTATGAATTAGCATTGTAATACCTAATTTCAAAAGCCATAATATTATTATGTCTGCTATAGTTTATTTTATGAGAAGGGTAAAAGACTGTAAAGATGTGTCTATAATGTCTCTGCAAAATGAACAGTGAAGACTAACAAGTTTACTCTGTTTGTATACTGCAATTTTCTTGTTTTACTAAGTACAACCGTATACAGTCAAAACATAAAAAAAAACAAAATGTGAACATAGCAGACAAAACTCTTGCAGATTACAGCTCTCTCAGTAGGTATCACTATACTAAATCAAAGAATTACTTAAAAAGACAATATCGATTTTGTCATTGAATTCCCATGTTTATTGGGGCACCCTGTAGTTAAAACTAAATATTAGCTCTCTGAATTACTGATAAACTTGCTTTTTTAACTCAATCTAAATCTTGTGATAATAAAAGTATACAATATTGTTTTTTAATACTTTGAAAATTTTTCTGTCTCAATACTAAATATTTTTATTTTCACAATTAGGATAAAGGCAGTGAATTGTTTAAAGTTTGCTTAAGTGGGAAAACAGTATAGAAAACAAAAACAGTTGACAATTTACAATAAGTAAATCCATAAACCTTCCCTGGTTTTATGTAAGTTGGTTCAAAAACTTTGGGCCTTATTGGTTTGGCTGTTTTGACGTTTATTGGATACAAACATTCTGACAAATAGATGGACAAGCAAAGTACATACACAGATTTGCACACATGGAGGGAAAATCAAAAACAGGCCCCTCCCTTTCTAAGTGTCCACAAGTAGAATACATCATAAGAAACAGTGATAACCAGAAAGACCCGGAATCAATCTACAATTAATCAGATGACTTCACAATAGAATTTTACAATTATGATTATGAAACAATAATAACAAAATATCCCTAGTGCTATCAATTTCAGAATGTGGTCTGCCTTGTCTGTTTAAAATTACCAGAAATATATATTTAAAGTTGTCCTGATTATTGTCTTTCTGCTTGTGACTGTATATAACATCTTAAAAAACTCGTACTTGAGTTCCTGCACGTTTATTTTCACAACACAAAACATCTTTATTATGAAATATACCTTACATACTACTAACAACAAACAAGATAAAGCATTAAACATTTTTATAAAATAATTTTGTATTACTTGATGTGTGTTAATGGTTTCAAGGGTACCAATATGAATCAGTCATTGTCATCTTTGCTTGGAAGGTCACCAGAAATAATGCTTATATCCTTTTAATAAAAAATGGTTTTGTGGATTGGGCCTTTTCTGGGCATTTTTTATAGTTTATTTGTTTTCAAATATTTTTTTTTAGTAATTGCAAGTTTGTTTTCAAATATTATTTTTGGGGGGGAGGGAGAGGTTCTGGGCTAGTTTACTGAATGATTGGGATGAAAGTAATTACAGCAAGCTTGAGAAAATCCTTTCAATGGGATTCTCAGGTATTGGCTAACTATTAACGGTAGTCAACCTTTCATCTTTGTTACATATAATTTCTTGAGGATTATTGTTATATTCCAGCTTAGTGGAATTCTCTATTTTTATTGAAAGGTGTTGTGTTGGTTTTTATTGATTTACCAGGGGTTGTAATCTGGCAGCACATTCATCCATCCACGCTTCATTCACACTGAGAAGAGGATTGACAAGAATCCAGCTGCCTAAGGGCTTCTTAGAGCTGAGAATATAGAGTGAAGGAATTCTTCTGATATACTGAAAAATGAGGCCCCCGGGTGCCTCACAAACAAGAAACATCACACTCATTGCTCCCAATCCTGAGTTTATTCAAAACTTTAATCTTACTCATGTATACTCTCCTCTTCTTGATCAGAATGATTATGAACAGAAGAGACAAAAATCATTCCTGAAGGAGAACCATGAGACGCTACGCTAGTATCTTCTTCTATTCTACAAGTGCTTATGGTTTGATGAAAATCAGGTGGGGTTATGATTCTTGTGAATGAACGATCTACTTGAGTTTGTTCTAAATTGGTAGAATTTGATTGATGCTCTTCTTGTGGTTGCAAATGAACCTCAGCGGAAGTAGTATAGATTATTCTTGAGGAAATAACATGAGATATTACTCCAGTATTTTCTCCAGGTGGATACCTGACTTCTCTCTTTGGGTTGATGTTTCTTCTTGGTTCACTCAGGGTTAAACCTGCTTCACTTCCACTATTACTAGGATTCACCTGTCTGGGAGCTCTTGTCAGATTTCTGACTGGGTTAACTTGAAATGGTGTTGTTCTGTGATTTCTTCTTAATTGCCTATCTGCTGAACAAGGTCTAAATAGTAAAAGTTTGTTGTATTTAAGTCCTTTTTTCATAAACACAATTGTTCTAAGAAAAACTTCAGGTAAAATCATGGAATTGAGAAAAAATACAAAATTGTCTCCTGCTTTTAAAAGAAAAATTCTACTTCATCAGCTAGAACACTAAGATTAATTATAAAAATAAGTTAGTTAGGAAATTTTGTAATGAATGATAATAAAGAATAAATAAATTCATGTTTTAAGGTCAAAACCATTGTATATATATATATATATATATATATATATTATATATATACCTCCAAACACCATAAATGAGAGAGTTTAGAGAAACCTTTCTTATTCCTCTTTTTACATAGTTTCTAAGCTTCTTGTTGAAGACAAATGCAACACCTAGGAAAAATTCTTTGTTAATAATGTGCCTTTAAAAACCCCTACACAACTAAAACCATACTTTTTAATAATAATAACAATATATTTGAACTGCTAAACTCATCAAGGAAAAATAATAAGAACATAGTTTTAGAATAGTGTTTCCAACAAAATAAATTTGTGGAAATGAACAAAGAAAGTTCATTAAAAATGTAGCTAATTTTGATGTACTATGGAAAAATTTTTTTACTTATTTCGCCAAAAATTTTTGTTCAATAAAATCTAATATTTTTTTCCCTTTCAAGAAGATAGTTGGATTTCTGACGGAGTGTCTTGGGCAAGGCCCCCATTGTTATTTAATGGATAAGGAAAAACTAGCAAATAATCTCAGGAAAACAATAATTTCTTAATATATCTGCTTAAAAAATGTATGTATGAAAATTGATGGGGGGTCACCCCTGTAGTTTATTCTAAGCTTTGAAACCGCTTGCTTCACTATTTTAACATCATAATTGTGAATAGGGTATGGTGGAGAACAGTGAAAATAGGGTGAAAATAGGTGTTTCAACAAAATTAGAAATGCTTAAGAACTTAATTAATTAAGCTACAGGACAAAAATATATATATTTGAAAAGCCCCTGAAAAATTGAATCTTGTGTAGCATATTTTTATATTTTTCAAAATTAAAAATAATTATTTTTGAAAATTTTTCCCACACATTTTTTAAGCTTATTTAAAATCCGCCCTTGCATCCCATAACCATTAAAGTTACAGGGTCTTATTTTTTTTAATGAGCAGGCCTTGAAAAATTCAATCTTATGAATAGTTTTACAAAATGTATGTTCAATAATTTGGCAAAAAAAATAAGTTTAAAGCTGTGGGGAGCATTCAGTAATAAACGAAGACCCAACAAATTTGACTGTTGTTTCTTCAGTCTCATTTTTGTGGGTAATGCTGTAATATATTATGACTGGTTCATGATTCTTGTTGAAACATAAAAGTTAATTTGATATGCAACAAATTATCTAGATGTGTAAATACTAGTCATCTATTATAGGGTGTTCAACTGAACATAACGATATAAAATGAATATCATGTTAAATAATCCCTGAATGTTAAATTTTTTTTTAATATTTCTGCATGAATGCTATGTGTAAGGGTTGTTAAAATCAGCAAATTTAGTTGTCAACTTTGACTTTAATTAAACAGTTTTTAAACACAAAGTTTTAACAAAATATCAAATATGATTTTGAACAAAAGGTCAAACATTTTCACAAAATTCATGAAAAATTTTGATTGAAAATTTTAGCTTTTGTTCACTTTTCCATTCCCTGAACAAAATTTTCACGAAAAAGAGATTGTACAAAAATTTTGAAATCCTATTTAAGAGTTGTTGATGTGAATTTATGTGTAACGGACAAATCAAAATTTTCCCAAATTGCAGAAAACTGATTAAATGGTTTATATTTAAACAAACAATATAGTTAAAGACAAACAATTTTAGTAACAAACTTTTGGTTGCAGCAAATTCAAAATTGAGTTTCTGCCACTTTGGATGATTGATATTTTGTTTAAAAAATTACTTGGAACTATGTATGCAAATACCAGTAGAATAGATCTCAGGAGACAGGGTTTACAACTTCTATATAAATTAGTATTTAAAAAAGTAAATTATATAAATATTTTAATCACATACATATGTAGAAATATATATTTTATCTTTTTGTCTAAATATAATTTTTTCTTTAAAACTTTCTTATCTCAAAACATCTAAATATATACTTTGCTTGTCTGTCGGTTTGTTTGGGTGTTTGTTTGCTTGTTTGATTGTATCCAATAAATATCAAAATGGCTGAACTGCTTGGGATCAAATTTTTTGTAGGACCTCAAATGACCCAAGGGAAGGGTTATGGATGATCAAATTCTCCAAAATTTGCCTCTAAGAAGATTCAATTTATGAAAATTATGAAAATCATCAAATTATTTTATAAAATCTGCGAACTTTTTTGTTGGTTTTTCTTTTACAATGTACACAAAGAGAACATGTTCACAATTGAAATGGGAGATGGGCGGAAGTGCCCTAAACCTAGTATTATATATTCATAAATTAATTAAATTTGGCTATGTTATTCAAATTTTATATTTATTTTTTACTAATCTTCCTGAATTTTTTAGAATAACCTGGTCCCTGTAAATTAAAACATGGTTTGAACTTATTTACAAAATATTGATCAAAAATATTAAACATCCTTCTGGTTAAAAGAAATGAATAAGTTAGATAGTATGATGTTTTAAAAATAAATAAGACTACTTTAACTATTATAACACTATTACTTTGATTAGCAGTGCTATAAAGTTTTAGACAAAAATGTTCCCTTTATTGAGAGGCTTCAAGTCTTTTTACATTATATTTTGTCCTACAAAAAGGCAAAAACTTTTGCGAGACAGAAAATATAAGTCCAAAAGCTTATAACAGACTGTTCCAAACTATTATTATTCATAGGTAATTTTACGAAACATTAGTGAACTTGTCTGGATGCAAAGGTCATTTCTAAATATAGAAAATAGATAGTTTTATAAAAATAATATTCTGTTTAGTAATTCTGTTCTATAATGTGCCTCTGTAGGGCAGGTTGTGTTTTCCCAATTCTCCTGAAAGTAAAAAACATGTTTAAATGTTTCAATTTGAAGCAGTATTTTTTCATTGAATCAGTCAAATGTGAAATGTCAATGGATACTAAAAATGCCATTTATCTTGGTGCTAAGATAAAAAGGGTAGGCAAAAAAAAACTAAAATATTTACTGATTAGCCCTAAAAAGCCATAGCTGCACAAAATGGAGGTACAGTGAATGTATTTTATCTATTTTGAATGTTTTTTTTATAATATACATATAACAAACAAAAAACTATTAATAAAATTTTAATTTAGTGCAGAAAAAAGAACAGCGAGCAAGACTCTAGATAGATTTATATATATCTTACTTGTTCTTCCTGTTTTGTCAGGTTCACAATGTTGTCCAGTAATGTACAGGTGGAGTTGGTATTTTCGTATTCAGCGCTTGTGTGTAATCTGAACATATATATTAAAAGATTTGAATTTTGATTAATGCTATAATTTTTGTTTGCTATTTAAAAAATCCTTCTTAGATAATATTATGTTATCGTTCTATTTATGTTCAACACAAAACCAGTCCCAGAATAAATCAATTCTATTCCCATGTTTTAGAACCCTTGTTACATACTTTTGAACTGTTGAGCATACTTTATAATAAAAAAGAAACAAAAAATTCTTCTTACACATAAAAATGGTTGACCCAGACCATTGTTCCTGCAACCATTGCAATAATACTAGCAAATGCACTGAAAGCATTATATGCACTGTTCATAGTCCTTCTTTGAGGATCAGCCTCAACAGTATAAACCTAAACAAACAATTAAAGGAACTGTTTGCTTTTTTTTTGTGAACTTTAAATTATTAAACCTGTGTCTGCTTAAGTTAAGCATAGACAAAAAAGGCCCCATGACTCTTATAGTTTTTATAAAATTTCACTGTCTCTAACACTTACTGTTAGGAATGAAATGTTTTAATTTTTGTTGACAATGTATAAAAAATAATAAATCTTTTCCAATTGATTTTTGATGTTGTGAAAAAATGACTGTGCTTTAGTTAAAAAATGTTAACAATGACCTTTCATTAACACTTGTGTTGACAACCTTTAGTCTTCTTCAAATAGAATAAAAAACAATTGTTCAGAAAGATTAAAACAAGTGTATCCTAACTTGTCTTTAAATAAGTTTTTAAAAATCAAGTAGAGGAAACCCAGGTATCCAAACTAATTATCAAATTTACTTCAGAATAAAATTTCAATAACAATAGTTTATGTTTAGTAAACCTTCCTTTTTAAAAAAAACGAAAGTTTATCAGTAAAAAATCAAACCAAAAAAAAACAATTATTGTTTTATTTTAATTTTTTAAATAATTAACAACCCTACTTACAGTTCAAAGGATCAAATGTTTACAAGTTATTGGTGACAATACATCAAACAGAAATACCTTAGTTATTTATTAAGTTGAATCCATGTTTAGCATATTGAAAATAGTTACCTTTTTAAACTTGAACCACTTGGCAACATATAAAGTAACCTAAAAAAACAATTAGATATGAAAAATCCTCTTTTAATGATGAGCTGGTAACACCATTTTAAAAAAAAAAAACTTTTCCTCATTCTACTGAAAACAGTCATTCAGCAAAACGAAATGTCTGTTTAAAAGTGGAGAAAAAATCAAGAGATGTGTTTTATCAGAGGTAGCAGGATTGTTAAAATTATAATTGCAATAAGGGAAATGTTTTTTTAAAGTTTTTAAATGTAATTATTTACCTGGTAGATTATTGTGAATAAGAAGTAGGTTCCTTGACTAAAGCTTTGAGTTTTAGGAATTTCAGGTAGTGAATCAAAAAGTTCCTTGGATCCCATTGCATAGACTATTGTTCCCTGAAAAAATGGTGTGATAATTAAAGTTTTTATCCACAAATAAAACATCTGATTGACAAGGTCTGTTCTGAGAAATTAACAATGGTAATATTTTGTTAGTTAATTTTAGAAATAAATTCAATTTTATATTTTGATTCTTATTTTTTATGTTTATGGTAAAAATTTAAATATATCTAAACAAAGTTAATAAGTGGACAAAGTGGACAGAGAAGAAGTTTATTGGGAAAAATGTTTATTTGCATCTATCAATTACTAGTCCATTAAAAATTGTTATTAGTTTTAGACTTAGACTTCCATTCCATTCTGTTTCAGATTTTTTTTTAAATTCAGAAACTGTGAACCATAAAAATTTCATATTTAGATTTTTAAATATTCAGACTTAAATTTAGATTCAACATCTTATTAACTATTTAATTACCCGAGCCATAAGAGGGTAAATGTTGAAGTAAGCTGTGATTAGATCAAAACTGATTGATCCAACAACATGAAGCACAATAACCTAGAAATATAATTAAACATAATAACATTTATCAATTTTCTGAAGATAACATGGAGCATAGAAAAAAAGTTAAATTTGAAAATATCTTACCAGATTACCAACCCATAGAATTGTTGTATCCAATGTGTCCTGAAGTAAATTTCCTTTGCATAATATTTTATTTGTGATATTCAATTTCTAAGGTAATGTTTTTTTCATAACGACCTGAATAAACTCCACATTGAGTAAGTACAGGTATCGCAACGTAGTGGCCAGGTTCCAAAGTCCCACACTCGAATTTAACACAAACTAAATTTATGGTTTTTCTAAGCCTGTCTAATTATTTTACTAAATATTTTAATACAAATATTTAAAGTTAAAAAATACCAACAAATATATATTTACTTCAGTTCATCGAAAAGCAATATTTTGGAACTTGGTAATGAAAAACCTTCAGGCTTATTCTTATCAACTTCAACTAATCTGACTCACCCTTGCATGTGCCACCACCAGATATGTGAAGAAATAATTGAATTCACCATAGATGTCCCTGGCTACCCACCAGAATGTTCCAATAAAGGGAACAAATTCTCTATAAAATTACATGAAAAAAGAAGTTTTATGTGAAATTATTGTTTAATTTACTAAATCTGAATATTAATTGACAAACCTGTGTGTATCAGATATGTAAATTTTTGTTTTTAAATTATAAAAAAAATTGTTTCAAAATTTTAAATAGTATCTTACAGATTGTAGGTGATGAGAATAATTACATCAGATAACCCTGTTTTATTTCCAGCTGGGATAGACCACTGGTAGTTTCTAATATTTGAATATCAATATATCACAATTTTAAGTTTTTCAAAGATAAAGTTAAGGAAGAATGATGTCCTATATATTAGTCAGTTAAGTAGCAAAAGGGTTAGTATCAAAAAACATGGATTTTTCAATGTTTTGGACAAAATTTTCCAATTATTATTTAGTTAGGAGTTAAGGCATAAATTAAAAAAAAATTTTGGAACACAAAAAAATTCTGTGAAATCGAAATCGAAAAATTGGTGGAAAAATGTTTATTCAATTGTTAGTAAATGTTATAACTTTAGAACTGTTGACTTCAAAAATGCAAATAATTGGCTTCCATTTTTTATTATGTCTCATTCAATTTTTCATTGAATTTTGATGAAATTTTGGAAAGCAATAAAATAAACATTGGCAAAACAATTTTTCAAAACATTAATGTTTTCAAACAAAAATTGGTATAGCAGATTTTTTCTTCAATTATCCAAAAAAAATGTTTTATCACATTTTATTTTATTTATGCCAAAAATCAGAGCAAATTAGTAATGATTTTGAAAGGTTTGTCCATAACATTGATAATCCCTGTTTTACTTAACATAAATAAAATCCCTTCGTCTGTTGGTTGGCATGTTTTGATACAAGAATGCTATGGCGAAAAGGCAATGCATTTAAAATTAGTACCTCTTTCCATCATATCTTAATTATCTCTCAGTGGATTTTTTTCAATTAAAAAATGTACACAGTAGACTCAAATTCAGAAGTTGCAACTACAAGTGTTGTCCAAAACTAAATGTATGAAAACTTTTATAATTAAATTTTTTGTGATATATAGAATCCTAATAGTTTGCCACAGAACATGGCACACTGTGCAACTGATAGCTCGAAATAAATCCTGAAGCAACAAATTTTGCATTAGGTCATTACACCTTAAAAAAAAAATTTCAGAGAGTATGATCATCTACCAAAAAGAAAATATTTTTGGGAAAACAAAAGATATTTTATTAAATTAAGAAATATTGGAAATATTACAGAGAATAAAATCAGGTAAGCCCTGCTTTGGAATAAATCAACCCTTCTGAACTGAATAACTTTTGTTGGCTTTATGTTTTAAAATTTAAAAAAAATGTGTTAAAAAAACTAAAATTCCTTAATTAACAAAGCCAAAACCAAATAAAAGATTTGCTTCAAATAAGTGCTTCATTAAATTTCATTTGCCTATAATACTAAGTACCACAATACAAAACAAAACAAACAAAACAAAAAATTAAAGTAACTGAGTCTTGAGGGTGTAAACCTCTGATATTTCAAACTCAGATTATATTATGTAACAGAATTCATAGTTTAAAATGTCTAAGATCTACAAACATAAAGGGCTTTGAAAATCTGAGAATTTTACAAAAGCTCAATTTTTTTTAATGCGTCCAGAAATTTGGTAATATGAATTATCTGAATATGTACCTCTAGAATGATGTGCACCATTATTTCAATTTGTCATTGTTTCTGTGTTAAACTTGTCTTAAGTTTTTTAAAAAAGAACAAAAAAAATTATATTCTTATTCATAAAAGTAATAAAAAGTAAATTTTTTATCATAAACGTAGAACAAGTTTATAATGGTGGTGAATAATAATGATTTTTATTTTCTTACATCATTTTTCTGGGAATCATCTAATGTTACTGTATAAGTTGCCTTTGACCTTGAGTTGCAGTTGCATATAGCACAAGTTTAAATCAAAGAATTTTAAATACCATCAAAATTAGAGCTATGTTATTTTTAAAAGATTTGTTTCTACATTGTATCTTTTAATCTTTATGTATAAATTGTTTGATTTTTGGCACTGTGTCCATATTTTAAAAGAAGCCTCAATCATTTAAGAAAGATAGAAGACTACTGGAATTAAGCTCCTAATCTTAAAAACAAGGTACTCAAACAAATACAAATTTAATCCCTGGTCTAGTAAAATTAGATTTTTATTTCGTGGAATTGTTATTTACTTGGTCTAATTTTTCAGCCTTTTAACAAACCACATGGAATATTTTTGTTTAATGTTGTTTTCCAGGGAAAAAAATTCCTTAGGGTAAAACTAGCTCAAACAAAAAATTTTAACAATTTAAAATAATTTTCCTAACTGTTATTCACACCATGTTAAAAATGTTTAAAAATCATTTAACTAAAGGTTATGTTGACAGTATTCAACAAAACAATTGAAAAATCAAATATTTAAAAACAGGTGAAAAATTGAGTCATATTTACATCTTTTGTTATGTCCATCTGGGAGTGGTTGATGTATATTTTTATTTTCAAACTTAACACCATAATACTAGAAGTATTTTCACAATTTAAGAATGGTCTAAAAAATGTTTTATTGACAAAATAAGGAGATGATATGTAAGTTGTTTCCCAAAAAATCCATAGTAAAAACCATATTCATTGCAATTTCCTCCTTAACTCATAATGCTTTGCCTATAAAAAAATTATTTTCATAGAATGATGCCATTTGATGTCTCAACTGCAGTGCACAAAAACAAAACTCCAATATCTTTAAAGACTATGAAGAAATTAACCTTTAGTGAATTATTTTTAAAAAATAACTGTGACTGTATTACTTTAATGGGCCTAAAAGCAATGTTACTCAAATAAACGGGATTTAACCATTGTTAAACTAGTTTACTGTAAAGTCGTAAAAGATATCAAACATTTATTTTTTACTGTGCAATCTTAACGTCAATGAGCATCTTTTTCTGAAAAACAATTTTATAATAGGTTGCATAATATGGCCAAGCAAGAGGAGTTCAGGAGGAAATTGCATCGAAAACTGTTTTTACTATGGATCCAAAATTGTATCACACTTCAAAATTCATTAAACCAATTTAGCAAAGAATGGGGAGAAAGTCAGGAAAATGGCTGGCTCATTTAGGAAAATTATTTTAAACTGCTGAAATTTTGTATTTGATCTATTTTTACCATAATGTTTCCTAAAAGTGTCTCACACATCTGGGATATTTTTTTTGGGGCACTCAAGAGTGGATAATCAATGTCAGATTACAAACATTGAGTTTTTACCATAAACTTGATTTTCTAATCCCTAGATCCCTGCTACCAAAGAAATTAAAACTATTTTAAATAAGGTGCAAAAGTTTGAAATTTGACAGGTTTAGAACATCAGGCCCAAGGATGAGAAATTTTTGGTTTGTGGCAAAACCAAGTCCTTTAAGTGCTTTGAAACTATTTAAAACCCAACATACTGTTATAAAAAAAAAACAAGGTCATCCTTGCATGGACAAAAGTTTTAAATGAATCAATTCTAACTAGGTTATTTTCATATTTTTATTTAAAATTTCATTTAAAACCATTCAAATAACTTGACTTTTGCAGCTTTAAATTAAAGAGAAATTTTTAATATTTGAAGATTAAGGATTAGAAATATTATGTTGAGAAAATATCTTAAGGGGATGATACAAATTTGAAGCTTTAAGTCTGAAGTAGTTTCAAGAAATAATAAAAGATGAGTGTATTCTTTAAAAATGATTTTATAGAAAGAGATTTATACTTGAAATTTGAAATTTGAAATCCAGAAAATTATAGATTTAGTCCAAACCTAAAGAATGTGGAGGCCACAACATTTTTCAGAGAATCTTGGTTGGTATAAAAAGATTATGAGAAACTTTGGGGGGATTTCATGAGTATAAAATATTTTAGCTTAAGCTTAAAGTTATGGTTTATTTATGGCAGCATTTAAGCTGAAACTTAACCTGTTCTTTAATTTAGGACTATATTTATCAAAATGACTTACCTTAATTACCCACTGACAAGCAATAACAATTTTTTCTTTTAAGGGGGAGGGGGGCTAAGCAGCTGTTTGAGCATGAAACCCCACTGGAAACCATAAATTTTACGGAAAGGGTGGGCTCACCTGATTCAAAATTTAAATCATTTCCATATCATTTATCCTTGAAAGAGGGAGGGGTGGCTGCTCTCAGGGTTTTGGAATTGCTCCCAGGGTTTTGAGTGCTCCCAGGGTTTTGGAGTGCTCCCAGGAGTTTAGAGTATAATGTGAAAATTTATCCGACCATTTATGAAAAGCTTACACATTAAAGATTATTGGCAAATGTAAAAAAAATATCGTTTTTTAGCTAGATACATAAAGGTTTCATTTGAGCTGGTCTAGTACATCTCATATCTTTGTATGTTATCTTATTTCAAATTTTTCTTTCAGAAAAATCCAATTTTTGCCTTATGAAATCTTTAATTGATTGGTGCCATTAAAAAATGTGTTTTTACTGAACAGTCACAAAATAAAAATTATTTTATGTTTTTTTAGTTTTCCTCAGATATCTTAATAATTTGAGGATTTTTGGTATGATGCGCCCATACAAAAGGCTCTAAATTTATCCTTGAATCATAAAGATTAAGAACAGTTAAAGAAAGCTTTAGGTTATTTTAATTTTGTATTATGAAAACAAAATACATTTTAGTGGGGGGGGGGGACTCAAGTGGGGTTCATATGTACTATAATTGGTGCTAATAAGATTGGGAAATCGCAGAAAAAATTAAGAGGGGTTAGAATCAAATCAAAGATGGGCTAAGACAGGAAAATAATGTGTTCAGGGACATAAAATGATGTTAGGTATTTTCCCAAAGGCAACTTCCCAAGTGGCAATTTCCCAAGTGGCAATTTCCCAAGTGGCAATTTCCCTATTGTGCAATTCCCAAGATGCAACATCCCAAAGGTTAAGTTAGGCCTTCTTAGGCCCTGCACGGTAAAATGGGGGCCAAGCTCTGCAGCTAGGATGGGTTTGGGGGTCTGCTAGAATGGGCTGTTGGTTGAGCCTTGCAGCAAAGACGGACTAGGGAAGTTGCTGCTTGGGAAATTGCACATTTGGGAAATTTTTACTTGGGTAAATACCCTGGTGAGGTTGCCACTTTAGAAAAAGCCCTTGGGAAAGTACACAATATTTATAAAGCATTGCAAATTTCCATGGGATGTTTTTTGCAACAATAATAGTCTCTGTGTTGGACTCGGAAACCTTGGTTATAAACCAGCTCTATGGACTACTAACTGGAGAAGGTACCTTGCCGG